CTATGATCCTAAAGGCTTAGCTTGAACCCAACCCGCTCCAAAGGGCTTAGGCCTAGGCTATACACTTGGCTAGGCAGGCCACTTGGGCCATATTGATGGTTTGGCCAGTGCAGGGCCATGGCTTTTGGCCTAGGCCAGGCCTGGCCCAATCAAGGACCAGGCCTTGGGCCAAACTTAGTGCCCTGGAATAAGGACTAAGACTTTTAAAAGAAATATAAAACCAAAAGGATTAAGACTTTAGAATATATCTCTTGGTTCTTGAGATATATGTAACATCGATAGGAAGTTTTTTATTTGATGTGGGTTTCTAACTTTATGTATATATGGGATGCAAGTGCATAGAATTTGTCTGCTTTATTTGAGTTACTATATGGGAATGTTGGTTTCCTCTAGAGAGATGGGAAAGTTGGTTTTCTCTAAAGAGAGGGACAATGGCCTCCTGTGCATAAGAGGAAATGCTTCCCTTTAGAGAGAAGATAACTTTCTTTGGAGAGAAACTTCGCAGTGTGTCTCATGTAGATTGAGAGGCTGGTTTCTTATAGAGAAACGGTTCACATGAAGATTTTTGGTTCTCCTCTTGGAAAATGGTTTAGCAGTGAAAAGGAAATGTAGATTAAGCGCCTAGTTTCTTATAGGGAAGCGGTTCCTATGTAGATTTTGGGTGGTTTCCCAATGAAAATTTTGGGTGGTTTCCCTTTTTAGTGAGAGAAAGTCTCGGTTGCTCTCAAGGTTTTCCTCTTGAAAAATGGTTTAGATGTGGAATGGGGAAATTGTTTCTCCCTGGACAGTGGTTTAGCCATGGAATCAAGATGAGAGGTCGACAATGGCGTTGATCGATAGACTGGCTCTAAAAGGGTTTATTCGACTAAATTTTGTCGAGGGTTAGAGAGGTAGCTCTCTCTTTCAAAATTTGTAATGTAAATTTCATTACTATAGTAGATTTTAGTTTGTCGTGCTCGTGGATGTAGTCCTCTTGAATGAATCACGTAAATCTGTGTTCTTGTCGGGTGTATTTTTTATACTTTATTTCTCGTATTATCGCTCGTACTCTCACCTATTTTGTTTCTAGTTGGATAAGTACATGATCTAGGCGGGATCCAACTTTTGGGATTCATGTTTTTGAATATAAGAGGGTTCGTAAATCCTAACATGTGGCATATCTAATAAAATTGACGATTTAGATCACAAAAGCGAGTGAAATTACAAAGAACGCAATCCCATTCTTAACACATAGTAACAAATGCCTCACTAAAATTACAACGAATTAATATATATTTAGTTTGAAATTGCAGAAAAAGCAATCTCATTCTCAACTAACATAAAAAATCCCCAAGTGAAATTGTAAATATTAATTTGTAATTAATCTGAAATTACAGGAAAAGGAGTTAAATCAGAAACATACACTAACGAATCCCCCACTAGAAAGACAGAAATTGATCATAGCCATTTAAAATAAATAAGAAATCCTTAAATGGGATCCCTAAGATCGCTATCAAATATTAAAAGAGAAATCATGCCAAACTTCCCAATAAAACTACAGATAGTAACCCACATTTAATCTGAAATTAAAGAGAAACCACAATGCTTGGGAAATTACTAGAGAAATTGAGAATCGCACTTGAAAATGACCAACAAAAAGGGGGAGATCCAAACTAAAAAAATGAGAGCTTCACAAATACTAGGGCTTCAAAGAAAATTTATTAATGACTAGGATTCATAGAGGTTGTTTCAAAGAGACTAGGGCTTCAATGTTCAAGGAGACAAGGGCCTCTCTTTGGGTAGAGAGCGATAGAAGAGAGAGAGAGAGAAAAGAGACATGAGAGAGCTTGAGAGGTTAGAGAAGGGCAAAATTCGAGGAGAATGTGAAGAGAGAGAAATGGTGAGGAGAGAGAGAAGAAAATGTCACCCCAACATTTATTGAAGATTGCAGTTCTAACGTCGGAAAACTTCAAATCGAACATCTTGGCCTTGACTATTATAATGGGAAAAAAAAAAAAAGATTACTATCCTCAAATAGTGTATATTGTAATACATTATCTAGACCAGCTATTGTGCTTTAAAAATAGGTGGATCTACAAGATTGTACTTTTTTTTTAGCTTCAAATTTTATAGTCGGTGTTGGAAATTGATTTTAGAGTTATCATGAGGATTTCTTATGCCTGCGGTCTCTCGACGAGGATTCAAGGTGTGGCTTTACTTTGTTTTCATGAAGCCTAGACCTAACAAAACTATATCTTTTTTATAAAGTATACATCTTTGTTAGATATATACACATATTAAGATAAAGGAAAGTATATAATAAGACCATTTACCTTTGCTATAAGGTGGTCACAATAAATCTTGACACTGGACGTGAAATTGGGTGGCTGCATTTATTTCATTATCCAAATTCAAAGTTCAAATGAATTTTCTCGAACTTTGTGACACACCCAAGCTATCAAATTTCACATGAATGTTTATAAGTAATTATGACATTCTTATTCCAAAGGTAAATAGTCTCATTGTATATAATCCCGTACGATAAATATAATTTGAGAAAAGATAAAATAAGAATATGATAATCGTAGTAGTCATGAGACCCTATGTCCATAGCCGTGACATTCATTCAGTTTTGGTGAGACTATATCTATATCAGCCCTATCCACTGTTCCCTAAATCTAGTGATGGACAAGCCTCTGTTACAGTCGGTTTTTTAAAATGGGGAATGGAGCAGCCAATTCCCTTAAATTGAATTTAAATTGGAAAAGTATATAAAGAGCTCATGTACTTTTGATATAATGAGGTCACAATTATTTTTTTTTGTCGAATTTCAAATAAGGTGGTTGTAATAATGTCATTCATTAGGTTGAAAGTTCAAAAATAAAATTTTCAAACTTGGTGGCATATCTTAAACATGTCAATTTGACATCTAATGTCTAGGATTAATTGTGACCTCTTGTAACTAAGATAAATAGTCTCATACCATGCAATACCATTAAAATTTGGGTGCAGGTTCGCACATCTCGCATTCTTTTCTCCTCTCTTTTTCATTTTCATTGATCTTCTGATTCCCCTGCCCTTCTCTCTCTTCATCTCTTTGTTCTCCATCCACTCCTAACCCTATCTTCCCCTCTCTCATCCATATTTCTCCATCTTGAATCCACACACCGCCAGGAGAGTAGGAAAATTAACTTTGAAGTTTGAATTGTGAATAGGGTTTCGATGATAACAGGATCTTTGTATTAAGAGAGATTTTCTTTCATTTTGAGCACTTTTTAACATAAGAAAGAGTTGGAAAGAGTGGGTTTCTTTAACTCGAGACTCTTCTCAAGCGCCTTGGAGCAATTTGGTTTAAACAACATTTTTCTTTGAGAGTTTGTTTTCACTTCCAAATTTTATTTGAAAGTTCAGGTTCCATGCCTTAAAAAAGCAATATTCAATATTCTAAAACTCGGCCAAATTCTCTCGGGCTCAATAGAAGTACCAGTCAAACTTTATGAATTTTTATGTTTTACCTATGACTAGGCCGAGTCTTTGAGAGATTGGCCAAGTCTGTAGAGATGACTCGGACTAGGGCCTTTCCAAATCCCTAGTCCTAGCCTTATTTTTTAACCTCACCTTGAAGAGATGGCTGGGGCCTCAATTGCATCCAACGGTTGTTGATTCCAAGGCCTCGGCAGTGTAGGGATTGAAGGGCAGGGATTCGTTCTCCATTGTCCCCTCTCTGCCACATGATTGGATTACTTTCATCTCTATCAAGTGCACCCGAAAGACGAAATTTGTAAAGCATAATACGGCAATTCTTGAAAAAATAAGCTTTGTTACATTCAGCCAATCTTCATTCTCATGTATTAGTCCAATATTTGTGTTTGGAGGATTTTATTTTGTTTTTTAGGTAGTTCAGTTTTTAAGAATTAAACTTGAGATGCAGCACTGCTAAGTGTTAGCTGTTAACCATTCAAGCACATACCCAATTCCAGTCTCCGGAGGATTTTTAATATGAAGATCAGATAATCGTCGTAACATTAGCAACTATATAGATTTGGAAAAAGTTTATACAAGGTTGCAACCTTAAAATGTAAAATTAACGTGCACCTCAAACAGCCCATCATAAAAAGTTGTATTGATGGTGGAAAACTATCTAATTGATCATCTCGACCTCGAGATGTATGAATATGAAAAGATAAAACGATTTTGAGTCCTAAAAATAGTGTATATTGCAACGCATTATCTGAACCGTTTACATTCAAGATTTTCAAATATTTATATCAATGTTAAAAAAATTGAGTCGACCAAGATACCTTGGACCTGGCCGAGACGAGTTAATCAACCAAGACGAGTTAATCAGCCGAGACGAGTTAATCAGGTGAGTCCATCTCTTTTTTCTTTTTTTTCTAAAAAAAATGAAAAAAATAATAGTTATATATGTACAAGTGCCTTTTTTTTTACAAACACAATAAGCAATGTCTTGCTGGTTGTCACGCCTTGTATTAAAATACCCCGTCATAAGAGGTCTCTATACAAGTTTGCAGTAATATTACACTTAAAGCTTAAAAATATTGTGTACAACTAACAAGCTTAAAAATGTTGTGTACAACTAACTCGGCCAAAACTCGTCTCGCCCATGGGCTGAGGTCGAGTTACTCGGTCGAATTTTAAAATGCTGATTTATATAATTATATATCTACTTGATATATAATTAAAGATAAAAATAGATTCTCAAACCATCTTGAGAATTTTATACTAAAATTTATATTTATAATAAAATTTGGAAGTGCGCCTTAAGGTTGCAAACCACACCCTTTAAATTTTAATAATAGGAAATGACTTTTGTTGAATGGATAATTTAATAATTAAAATAACTTAAAATGTATCACTAACCATACTTCTTACTATTTTTTAATCTGGCAGCTCGGGCTCCCCATTTTTATTAAGGCGCTATCCGTTATTGGATCAAATGTACGGTTGCCAGAGGAAACGGAATAGATGTGTAATATACGCCTGCGAGAGCACGCTAAGCCGAGTGCCACGCGCTTCCCTACTTTTGTCTCCCTTCTCCAGTTTTCTTCACTTGGTCTGTCCCTCCTCCATCCTCCTCCATGTCTTATCTATGTTCCCTCTTTAACAATGTAGAGAGAGAGAGATTGTAGAGAGAGAGAAACAGAGAGAATGTAGAGAGAGAGATTACTGTGAAAGCACACGAATTCAAACATGGTCACTTCTCCCCCCACACAACCTCATATCTCTTCTCACTCTCTATCTTCCCCACTTCCCCTTCATTCCCTGCATATTCTCTCTCATCACTCTCTCTCTTCCACATCTCTTTCTCAAACCCCACCCTCACCCAACAAGCTTCCACTCCAATCTCATACCCAACAATCACACCCAAATAAACGCATTCCAATTCAGCAAATCAAGGCCCATCATATCCATGCTCATCTCCTCAAAACTGGCCAAATTTTCAGTCCCTACAATGGCAACTCTCTCATACATGAATACATGCAATCGGGCCTCACATTGCAGGCACGTCGGGTGTTCGATGAAATGCCCCAAAGGAATATAGTTTCTTGGACCTCTGCAATTTCAGGCTATACCCGTAATGGCAAGCCTGATCAAGCCTTGGCTCTCTTCTTCCTCATGCTGAATTCTGGTTTTTATCCGAATGAATTCGGTTTTGGAAGCCTCCTCAGAGCTTGTGTAGAGGCTCGCCAGTTTAAAACTGGGCACCAATTGCACGGGCTCATCGAAAAATCAGGATTGGGTTTGAATGTTTTTGTGGGTAGTGCTCTAATTGTTTTGTACTCTCGATCCATGTACTTAGCCAAGGCGTGTCGTGTGCTCAATAGAATGGAGGCTGGAGATACGTTTGCTTGGACCTCCATGATTGTGGGGTACTCGAATGGTGGGTTCTCTTTGGAGGCCCTCGAGCTCTTCTCTCAAATGATCGAATCAGAGGTTAGGCCATCAGAGTTCACTTTCACTAGTGTTCTTAAGGCCTGTGCATCCATGGAGGCTGTGAAACTGGGTTCCCAAGCCCATGGTTACGCTATAAAATTGGGTTTCGAAGATAATTATGCAGTAAGAGTCTCTCTCGCTGATCTATATGCAAAGTGTGGCGACATGTTAAAAGCTCTTATTCTCTATGATCGGGCCCCTCATGTAGATGTAGTTTTATGTACAGTGATTATAGGTGGGTATGCTCAAATTGGGGATTCTGATAAATCCATGGAGATCTTTGTTGAGATGCTGAATTTGGGGTTGCTTCCTAATGCTTTTACTTTGGCAAGCATGATCGTGGCATGCTCCAATAGCCATAGAGCTCATGGTCCTGCAATTCATGGCCATGCCATCAAATCCAATTGTGATTCAATACTTCATGTTGAGGGGGCTCTTGTGCACATGTATGCCAAGATGGGCAAGATGGAAGATGCATGTAGAGTCTTCAAAAACATGATGCATAAAGATGATGTATCGTGTTCATCAATTCTAACTGGATTTTCCCGTAATGGATATGATGCAGACGCCATTGAATTTTATTGCAAGCTCCACAGGTCTGGTGTGAAACCTGATGCTTTCTCTTTAGCAAGTGTTATAAGCTCATGTGCCAAGCTCTCTGACCATGTTTATGGACGGCAACACCATGCCCAAGTCATGAAACATGGTCATGTGTCAGATACGTTTGTGGCTGGCACTCTTGTGGACATGTACGCAAAGAGTGGATTCATAGAGGAAGCTCGTCAGATTTTCGATGACGTTCCAGTGAGAGATCGAGTATTGTGGAGTGCTATGGTTGATGGGTATGCAGAACATGGAATGGGAAAGAAGGCTTTAAGAGTGTTTGATGACATGATAGAAGGTGGCGTTCGCCCAAATGAGGTAACATTTGTTAGTGTACTATACGCATGCAGTCATGCTGGTCTAGTGACAGAAGGCATTCGATACTTCGACACCATGTTCTCTGATCATGGAATTGAGCCTGTTATGCACCATTATGCATGCGTTGTTGACCTCTTAGGCCGAGCAGGTAGGTTGGATGACGCTTTGGACTTCATAACCAGAATGCCTATGCAACCAAATGCATTGGTTTGGAGGGCTTTGCTTGGTTCTTGCAGGATTCACAATAATCTCGAAATGGGTTTATTTGCTGCCGAAAATGTCCTCAAATTGGAACCAGAAGACGATGCCACCTATGTACTTCTCTCCAACATGTACGCCATTTCAGGTAGATGGGATAAGGTGACTACAGTAAGAGAAAAGATGAGAGACAGTGGCATAAAGAAAATGCCTGGACTTAGTTGGATCGAGATTGGGAGGGTTACGCATGTGTTTGGGTCTCGAGATGAATCACACCCACAAAAGAAGCCGATTTACGAAAAACTTGATGAACTGATTGATTCGATAAAAGTAGCAGGGTATGTTCCACAAACAAGTCATGCCCTTCATAATGTGGATGATGAAGAGAGGGAAGGATTCCTTTGCCACCATAGCGAGAGAATTGCTGTGGCTTTCGGCCTTCTGAGCACATGCGATGGAAGTCCGATACAAATATTTAAGAACCTTAGGGTGTGTGGTGACTGCCATGATGCTCTCAAATACATGTCTTTGGTTACTTGCAGGAAAATCACTGTGAGAGATGTTAGTAGATTCCATCATTTTGCAGCGGGTGATTGTTCTTGTGGAGACTTTTGGTAGTTGGTAAAAGGGCTGATAAACTAACCTAATCACTTTGTCATTGTCTTCTGCCGCATCTAAGTTAAAACACACGTACCCGAATGCCCGTCCACACATCCCATTGATTTGTTTGTGCAGGGTCTGTTTTGATAGACCAGCAAGGCACCATTTGAATTCCCAACCAAATTGCAATTTGAGCCTATTTGAAGTTTTCTCACTAGTAATTTGACCTCAGGGAATGTTTGATTCGCAAACTTGAACTGATTCCTGATGGCAATTGGGCTCCTGAATTATAGTTTTTTTAAAAAGAACTTGGACATGTTTTTCAAAAAATTCAATTTGGCTCTCCCTCTCTCTTTCTCTCTCTCCACCACTACTAATATACCATTACCATACCACCACCACTATTGGTGCCTAGCCCCCTCTACCACCGCCGCATAGTGGCCACCACCACTACCAATGCCTAGCAGCCACCATCACCTTACCACTACTACCACTACTGCACGACCACCACCACTCTACCATCTCCACTGCCGCCTACCCTCAACCACCACCACCTTTACTGCTCCAGCATTATTGCCACTGCCACCACCAGCATCACCACCACCACCTCTGTCTCCACCGCTATCATGACTGGCCAAATTTGAGCTCTTTGGCCATAGGAATTTTGAGTTGTGGCCACAAGAAGAAAAGTTGAATGTTGTTGGAAACTTGTTCGTCATTGGTAGACCACGCCCACATTGTGCACTTCTCATCAAAGTTTGTGAACCTTTGGTGGTCTGTTAACAGTTGCTATAGAAATGTCGCTTCCCCACGGCGGGTTGACCCCAAATTTGAAACTTAAGCTTCTGAGCTTGTGCTTTTCTTCTATAAGTGTTTCAACACATTTGACGGCCGATATCTTATAGCTCTTTTGTAAATTTGGGCCTGTTGAGAGGGTTATACCCAATCTAGGCTCTTGAGAAAGAGATAAAAAAGGTTTGATACAGGCCATTCATTCTCTAATTGAGCTCAAATTTAGGATTTTGGACTTGTGTCATTTTGCGCCTTTCCATCGTGAAAGTTTTGGACCATTTGGCTACAGATTATACACGGCTCCTTTGTTTCTGAGGGCCGACTTATGCACCCATTTGGGCTTTCAACTTTATTGGTCAAATTTTGAAAATCTATTGTAAGATCACGTAACATTTGGAGGGTAACAACCTTAGATTATTAAGATCCTCATATTATAGTTTTGAGCAGGTTTGACCATAGTCTCTTCTAGGCCACCCGATTGCCATCTTGAGCATACAACTAGCTCGTATTTCCTTCATTCATAACCTAGGGCTTCATCTCATCATCTTAAAGGGATCGGCAAATTTTGAGCCTAATTTAAGGTTGCTTTCCTCAATTCCACCCAGTTTTGGTGATTTTTGGAATTTCAGCTGTTATTGTATTGCATGTTTATTTGGCTGATCGTCCCAATAGATTTTACTTGGAGGGCAACCGTTTCAACTTATTTCTTATCTTTTTTTTGTTAGGTCGACAAAAAGACCCTTTGAAAAGCCATAAATCCAAGGTTTCACCTCCTCGGGACTCTAGTTCGGTAGTATGATTCATGTCCACAACTACCCCTTGGTGGTTTGTGGTACTTTAAGACAGCCCCAAACAAACACCTAGAATGCCTTAGCCTAAGGCATGCAGTTCAAGACCACATTCACGAAGGCGTTATACACGTTACATAGATGACTCGGCCTACGACCACCCATACTAGGAAGTGGGCATCACTAACCCTCTCCTCGACACCATGATCTGTTTGAAAAAAACAACCCAACCATTCTAATAACGGTGCAGTTGACATACGGATGCATCCGTAGCTGTAGAGGTAAGGTGCGCCTTCAAATTTTTGTATGGTATATAATTTTGATGTAAAATATTCTTAGGATTATCTTAAAATCTATTTTTATATGTAATTATAAAATTTTAAATTTAAAAAATGGTTAAAATCAAGTAGATTTATAAACATGTGAAACTATTGAAAATTGACGGTATAGATAGTATGTTGTAAAATGCACTATTTCTGGGACTTAAAATCTTTTTGTTTTTCATGGTCATACATCTCGATATCGAGATGATCAATCAAAGGGTTTTTCAACATTAAAACTACCTTTTCCGATGGATTTTTGAGGTGCATCCGTAGCTCTACATTATAAGGTTGCAACCTTATATAAACTTTTCGACAAAGATTACTTACAAGTGGTACTGTTACAATAATTATTGCTTCAAGAAAAAATAAAGGTAAAACTAACAAATCCAAGATCTTAAAACCTTGATGCCATTAGACTAATTATTTTTAAACAAAGAAAATAATAAGTACTTCTCTCATGCTTAGAAATGTAAAGACAATATAATTGAAAAGGAAAGAAATAAAAAAAAGAATGCCGGAGATTACCTCAACCGGGCTTATTACACCTCACACCAAGTTAACACCATCCGATGGCGGGGGATTAACAATCAACCTTCAATCTCAATGGGAAAGCAAGTTTCAAGGCAAACCCTCTAATGGAACTATGAACTCCTCATGCTTACAAAATTCGAACTTAGGTACAAACCCGTAAAACCTAGTTCAATCAAGATAGAATCTACTTGCAACTACCCAACCCTTATGTTCATCAAGGCAAGATGAGAGGGAGATATAACACCATCTAGGTAGGGCGTTCCCCCTTTGTATGGTCTAGAGAGAGAATTCTAGGGTTGGAGCGTGCCCCTTATTCTTATCAAAGAGAGAGAAATAGTTAGAGAGAATAGAGAAATTGGTGTGTAGAGAATTATGGGCAATGGGTCATCTTTTTATAGTGCAAAAAATAGGATAAGGGTTTATTAAGATTTCTATGACTTGCCTCTTCTTGTGGCTTGAATATGGACTGTTGATCATGAGTGACTTGTGGGGTGAGAGATTTGAGCCTTCCATGCCATAGATGGGCTATCAACATGCTATGGAAGGTTGTAGAACATTTATCACCCTGTTTCCTTTACCGATTATCCTATCAATATAAATTAAATAAGATAATATTAATCATAAAATTGTGCTTTATCCAAGGTATGCATAAGTTTTATCAAGCTTTTAAATATTCATTCAAATCTTCCTCAAGCCAAATCACCTTTCCAAATATCATAATAACTTTTTCCAAGCCAAAGTTATTACTCATATCAATTCAACACTATTAAATAGGAAAACCCTTAAAAGTGGGGCGTGCACTCATGAGGTGGCCAATTTAGGCCATGGTGGGCCTATGTGCACAATGGGCCCCGATGCTATTTCTAAATATTTAAAATTAATAAATATTCGAATTAATTTGAATATTTAAAACATTGAAAAATCAATATTTCCATTTTTCTATCCAGAGATCTAAAAAAATTTAAATAAAAAATCTAAGATCATATCATCATAAAATAAACACAAATAAATTCATTAGATTGGATAATGATCCATATGGTCTAGGAATAAACATTTTTTGGGGGCACTCCACCTTCAATCGTGGACTACGGTCCACACTTGTTTTATCAACCGACATAGTATTTTTCGTGACCCACAGTCTATGCAGGGGCTCATTAGTGGGTACCTACAGTCTATGAAATCCCAATTTATGGATTTCATGTTTTGCCCTAGAGACGTGTCAAGGTCATCTGGACCTGATGCGATGACAGCTCCTACGGTGCATAGGGGTATCTCTCGCACGTACATAAGCTTCATCCTAAAAGGTAGTTTGCTTTCTCGAAACGACTATCATTATGCATGTTGTGTGGTGTATATAGATACGGCTTTGGCCCCCGTATCAGAAGCCCACCTTCACACACAATGGTCACACGGTCCCTCTGCTTACTCATCCTGACATACTATGACCTCATCAAGGGATGACCTATTAGAACCCTTTATCGAATAGTTTTTTATACCTAAGTAACATAAGTTTTTCCCAACCGACTAACCTAGACCGTCAAGCATAGCTCGGTATCAACAAATGTTATTTGCTTAGTATGGTCCATAAGGGACCACACTCCCACTAAGTTCATGTTCCATTATATCAGATGTTTCATTACAAGCACTAATAAGGCCTTTAATGACCACACTCACCCAACATCTCCCACTTGACCTTTGAAGGTCTTACATTCTCTCTTCCTCACTTTCTCTCATCCCTATCTCTCTCACATGTATTGCAAAAACATTAGGGGTGATCCCTTTTGTTAGAGGATTTACAATCATCAAATCTGTGAATATATAGCTAATCTCGATTTCTCTTAGTCTCACCTCACTCCTCAAGTGACAGAAATATGGTTTTATGTGCTTGAATTTCTTATGAAAACATAGCTTATTTGATATGTAAATTGCTACCGTGTTATAGCATAAAATCCTTACTCTCTCACAACGCATGGGATAAAAAATAAGTTGATTAATAAACTTCTTAATCCATACGGCCTCCTTGGCAGCTAAACAACATGCCACGTATTCAGCCTCCATGTTGGACAATGCCACCACATCTTGTTTCTTTGAGTTCCTATAAACTGCACCCCCTCCAAGCATAAACACATATCTAGATGTGGCCTTCACATCATCTAGATCCGCAAGATAGCTTGTATTTGAATACCCCCCAATTGCTATTTCAGTTGCTCCTTTGTACATAAGCGCATAGTTCATGGTCTCTTTTAAATATCTGAGGATTCTCTTAACCGCCTTCCACTACTCCTCTCCAGTATTGCATTGGAATCAACTAACCATGCTCATGAAGAAAGATGAATCAGGCTTTGTTCCCATTAGGACATATATCAGGGATCCAACTATGCTCCTATAAGGCATTCTCTCTATGGCTCTTATATCAATATATTTAGTAGGACACATCTTATTATTAAGCTTTGTCTTTTTGGCTATTGGGTAGACATGGGCTTACACTTATCTATATCAAACTTTTCCAATATCCTTTTGCAGTGGGTTGTCTGGGAAAGTTGGATAGTTCTATCTTTTCTGTTTCTTATTATATTGATACCCAACGCATATGAAGCTTCTCTAAGATCCTTCATGTCAAAGTGTTGTACAAAAAAAGTTTTAGTCTCTACTACTAGGGCAATTGAGCTACTAACAATTAGCATATCATTCGCATACAAGGAAATGAAAGCCACATCACTCCCACTGACATTTTGATAGATAAAGTAGTCTTCATTATTCGTAGAGAACCCCACAAAGGTTAGGGTCTCTTAAAATTTTATGTAACACTGATGCAATGCTTGTTTTAGGCCATAGAGGGATTTGTTAAGCTTACACACTAGGTTTCCCTTTCATTTTTCCTCAAATCGCTCGGGTTGACTCATGTAGATTTCTTATTCTAAATCTCCATTTAGGAAGGCTGTTTTGATATCCATCTGATGAACCTCAAAATCAAAATGGGCTGCTATTGTTATTAGGATTCTGATGGATGGAAATTCAACAATTAGGGAAAATGTCTCATGATAATCTATCCATTCTTTTTGGGTTAATCCTTTTGCAATTAGCTTAGCTTTGTATTTTTCTACTTTCCCTTCCAAGTTTAACTTCTTCTTGAAAATCCACTTATATCCTATGGCCTTACGTTTCTGAGATCGTGACACTAATTCCAAAATATGGTTTTGGCTAATATAAGCATATTCATCCTTTATGACTTCTATCCAATACTCTTTTTTAAGACAAGACAAGGTTTCATGGTAGGTTTTGAGGTTCAGAATCTGGATCATCCCCAATTCTATCATAGTGTTCCCCCAGGTAGACATAGTCTTTTAGGTTAAAAGGTGGTCTACTACTTCAGTCTCTTTGACTCGGTTCAAATTCAGGCTCAAGTCTATTTGAAGTTTCAGATTCGGGTTCTCGAAGCACATCCTTATTTCTTGCGACCTCAAAGAGGTCGACTTGTTTGTGACTCAATTTTGCTTCAAGGAATTCTTCCTCGAAGAAATGAGCATCATAACTCTTAATAACCGCCCGGTTT